TGACCAGTCGGTCGGACTTTTGTATAAAGAAATACTAAGACTGGTCGGTATAAACAGCTGATTTTAATAGTGATTGAAAGTGCAAAGCACATGTGGTCATTATAGGGCACCAGTCGGTATAAAGAAGGTCGTTATAAAGAGAGTTGACTGTACTTTTTTTTTCTTCTTCGTGCAACTGTTTTAGCATCATCTGTCAGATGTAGACATTATAGAAGTAAAATTTATACGAAAAAAACAACAAAGCTTTAAACAAAAGGCTTTATTAGAATAAAACTGTTTCATTGTGAGTTATGATATATTTAAGTTATTTTGTAAACAATCGACTTTATGCATTTCAATCACGCGTATAATTTTCTGTACCGCTGGCATTTGCAGCAAGAAGTACAGTAACACACGATTCGTCCTATGATAGAAATGTTCAAACATGTTTTATCATATGAACAAGCTTTATTTCACTTACGCCTTTGCAACACTGTATGTCCAGAACCGTGTACATTTTTCTCTAATCAATATATCCAAGAACTCACAAGGGTAGCTGTATAACTGAATTAAAACAGTTAGTTTTGATATTCTATGTCATCAATTATGGCCACTGCATTATCAGCGGCAAAATTCCACTCTTCTGCTATGAGTTTTGTTTTATCCGATTCCAAATGAGAACTGTCAAGCGAGGTAGTTGTGGAGACGACCACAGATGCTTCCGTAGAACATTCCATTCCGAGTACGTAATTAATTGGATTCTCAGGTATGAGTGACCAACAATATACCTATTAAAAAGAAATTAAGAAAATAAGTTAGCACAAAAAGTAACTAGATAACTGAAGCGCTTATTTTTAAGCTGTATATACAGTGTGAACTCTCCAGAGAGAACGCCAATCATGCTTGTACGTGCATGTAGCCTGCAAGTATCGCGCACTCCCTCGTTCCAAATATAATAAAGTTTTACGTTGTAATTCTTTCTTGGTAGCAGACGTTGTGTAATAATGTATCAAAAAATTTATGTATGGATGCAATGAAAAAAGAGAGTTTAAATTGATCCCTAGATCTTTGTGTTTATTTTGAATTAAACGCGTCGCAAATTGGTTCCAAATTGGGCATGCTAGACGAGTTTTAGTAACGTATACAATTTTCTTGACACACAGTGTTTCAATGGTGTTTATTTTAACATTTTTATCCTTAGGTGAAACCTTGACCGTCGTGGTCTTCCATGACATAAATTATCAATTGTCTGTTTATATATCGTCGAAGAGGGTCATGTGTACATACCACTCTCAACAAAATATGACAGTATAAATAAACTGAAAAAACAGCATGCTGGTGGTAATGGTCGGCCGAGAAAAATACCTCGAAGCACTCGGCAATACATTCGGCGAGACACTTTGTATGCAACAATTGCCAACCATCTAAATGACTTTGGATATAAAAAACCCCTCCCAAGAGCCACACCTATGCTTACTAACAACGCCCACAAGTAAAACGTGTAGAATGGGCTCAAAAGCATCTTAACGACGATTGAAGTCGGACTGTATTCTCAGATGAGACGGCATTCCAACTCTTTCGGAACACTGTAGAACGTTGGCATAAGGGTGTATGGCTGTGCCGAAAGATCGAACAAAAATTATGGCGTGGGGTGGATTTTGTTTTGCTTTCGACAAATCATGGATGCCAGATTTTATGCCCAGAAATTGACCAAATGCTCGGGGTGGGCAAATGGAGGTTTCAGCAAGACAATGACCCCAAGCATAGTAGTCGTCTTGCTAAAGCCTTTCTTGATGAGAATGCTCCAGAAGTCATGGACTGGCCATCCGATAGTCCTGACTTAAAAACCCTATTAAAACTTAATGGGCCATTGTGAAAGGTAAGAATGCCTCAAAATATCAGTGAACTGGAAGGAATATTCTAGATATTGTAATAAATCTCGTGGGCTCAATGAGACGTCGTTGTGAACTTGTTATAGAGAGAGAATCTCTTATTTAATTGCTGTTAATAAAATCTGTCCATTCACTCCATTCATTGTGACACAATGAATGAAAAACTTATTCCGGGGGGTTTGACACAGTATATTCGCAAAACTAATGAATGAAAATTTTCATGGGTTTACGAGACGCAAAAACAACTCAAGCGGATAGTTCTATTCATGCAGTTTCCATCGACCCTGGCGTTCGTACACCCTTCACATGGTACTCTCCTACTAAAGGTGCAGGTAAAATTGGCCAATACGACATTGGACGAATTATTCGTCTATGCAAGCATATGGATAATCTTCTTTCTATAAAGGACAAGCTGGCTGCCTCTAGTTCAAAACGTATGCCTTGCGACTTGATAAGGTAATCTTTCGAATGCGACGAAAAATCAAACACCTGCAAAGCGAAGTTCATAAAAAGAGTGAATTTTTTACTCGCGAATTTGATGCCATTATCATCCCTCCGAAAAACAAGAAGGATAACACGAAAACCGTTCGTAAAAATGCTTCTGTTGGGCCCACTATCACGTCTGGTGGCTAAAGCAGAAGAATTAGGGGGCCGTGTTATTATCCAAAATGAGGCCTATACTTCAAAAACTTTGCAGCTGGTGTGGGAGCGTTCAAAAAATAGGAGGGTCCGAGTGTCGAGATTCGGGGAATCTTCCTCCGGGCATTGCTTGATGGAGCCTTGATTCTCTCCGGAGAAATAGTAGTAATGCCTACTATTACTATTGATACGTTACAATCCATCCGCTTTACATGCGTATACAACCCAAACTCCACGGATTTCGTACCAAAATACATTGGTTTTGAAAGAGATTAATTGAACAATTTATTTACTTTTATTTTGTTTGAAGGAAACAACGCACCATCTTCAGAACTTAGCCTATCCAAGAAAAGGTTATCCAACTTAGACCACTATCATACACGTTAACTTATGCGACGCGAGGAAGAGAAAAATGTGAGGAAATGAGAGAAGGAAAGCTATTGTCCATCGTATTGTGAATTTAATCGTATCTTATCTTAACGGCTGCACAATGGCTGTGTGAAGACGGAAATAGACGCGGGCTTCGCCGCAATCGCCAAAAAAAAAAACGTATTAAACTACTAGAATGTTCATTTATAAACTCAAATTATTTCATATGGAACCGGGTAAACTGGCCAACCCAGAGTTGACTACTGCTGCAGTCACAACGGCCGCACTTTGTTTGGCCGCTGCTGCTTCGACTGCCTTGCGCTCCTCTTCTTCTCGTTTCTGTCTTCGCCATATCTTCCTTTGCTCCTTGAATTCTGTAATCACTTACAGTCAGTCATTGATCATCATGCAACTATTTATTCCATTTGAACTTACCAGCTGGATTACGCTTAGGCCCGTGTTTCTGCATTTGAACGTGAGCATTCAAGTGATTTAGTGTACCATAACTTTTAGAACAGCCTGGCCAATTACAAGAATAGTGACGCTCAATCTCGTCATAACGTCTTCGCGGTCGCTTTTTAGTATTAATTCCTGGCAAAGGCACAAATGAATACACCTTCTGCGGGCGTTCGATATTTGCTGGTATACTCGCATTGTCAAGGTCTCTTCCGTTCATCCGATCTGCCGACCGATTGCTCATAGTACGTTGAGACGATGTCATTAGCACGTTATTCACTTGAGCTGCAGTCACAAAAGCGCCATTCAAGAACGCTGCTGGCGAATAGTTTAAAGGGGCTCCGTGTCCAGAATGCATGATATGTGATCCTGTTGATGAGTTAGCACCCAAGGACGTCTCTGTGCCATTAACCGTTATGCCTCCAGTGTTGAGGGTAAGTCGACGACCAGCAGCGTCAACAAGCGCTGTAGAATTCGAGAGGTTGGCAGGCAATTCAGTAGTATTGCCGACGATTGGAGGAAGGGTGCGCGGATCCACCAGTGTTGTCAACTGAGAAGTCTGACCAATATTTTGTTGATTAAGCTGATTGATAGGTTGTTGAGAAACTGTTTGTTGTTGATTTTGCGTCATTAAAGATTGCTGCGTTGTATAATTCCCATCTGCAGGGGAGTTGGTATACGTTGCGTTTACCTCGGAATACTGTTGTATCGGTTGGTAGAATCCAGACACCGATTGCGTAGTCGGTGCTGTCATAGTCATGTGAAGGTTGTTAGATTGAGAATGCTGTTGTATGTTTGGTACTAATTGCGGTTGAGTGGGAGATGCAGTAGGAGAAGAGGGAGTCGTTTGCTGAGAAACAGCCTGCATTGCCAATGTTTGGGAAGGCAAAACCTCAGATAGTGAAGGTAATGATGCCTTAACACTTAATGTGTTCTGAGAATGTGTCGAAGAGTTGTTGTGTGTTGTGACCGTGACAGATGCACGAGGATCGTTGCTGATTGTATATGTTTGCCCGATACTTTCTCCCGACGTATGAATCACCGGTGTACCTTGATTTTGAAGGGGGGATGATCGAGTGTCTTGAGCAGGCATATTTGTGGTTGACATATTCGAGTTGTCGTATCTACAGGATGATGGGGAAAGTGTGTATGAAGTAGATTCGATGAAAGTGTTATCGGATGGTGAATTCCTGGATAATGAAGATTCGGAAGAGGATCTTGAGTGTAATGCCGAGTATTGTTGATGAGTGTTGGTTATTGTAGGAGCGTTAGAATATGCGAAGGATTGCTGAGCCTGAATGGAGGCCGACTGATACATAGAAGTTTGGATAGGATGATGTTCGATTGCGGTATAATTCGCAATAACTGGATTAGACAGATCGGTATTCCTGGTTGTTGTAAAACTGTGGTGGATGTCGTTAGGAGTGGGTTGTAAAACAATCATTGATTGTGATAATGGCTATCAAGTTTTATAGTAAATTCTTCACTAAATCGAAAGGAAATAGTGAAAGGGGCGATTTTACGGGATACGAATAGACTAAAATAAGAAAGAAATAATGCACACGAGAGCGAAGTTCAGTAAACGAAGACACTATTCTGACGCGATTCCTGAATCGGGAGTGGAACGAAAGTAAGTTTTATGTTGTTGGAATGCTTCAAGTAGTAAAATAGTGGCTTTCTTTTACTTACAAGCACGAATATTGTTGCTGATGATTTGGTGTATATCGAAAAGGTAAAGGATGAAAATGTATGAGGCGTATTATATGTTGACTTGTATTTTCGAGGCGAGTTGGTTCGTGTTTTGGTGATTTTTTTTGTTTGTTCACCGACTAAGCGAGCGGTCAGTCCAACCTTCTCTTTGAAAAATTGTATATATCTATAATATATAATGTGCGTAGATTGCACAGACATATATATATGGATAAGTGGGTATTGGAGAAAGAAGGAAAAGGCGGAGCAAAGAAAGAACTCGAGATTAGTAACAGGGTGTTTTATATTAACGTTTCGTTTGTATTTATATGCAATTGCGCTTACTTTAAGCAGTAAAAAAAGTGAATAATCCTGTGATATTTTGGAATTAAAATAAGAAAAGAATATTCACTAATAAATTCGGGGATACATGATCCGATATGATGTAAGTTGGATTGGGTGTGTTGCAAAAGAGGGATATATAGGGAAGGTGATGTGGATTGTAACAGATGGGACGATTATTGGGAAGGGGGGTAGGGTGTTGATAGAATGGCAACGATAAGAGTCATGTGGAGATACATATATTAGCGAAAGATGATAGGTGGTGATTTATATGATACATAATATATGAATAAATAGTATTAGATATTAGTGAATGCTTTAGGTCATATAGTATCATTGCGACAATAGATTAACATAAAAAAATCTTACAGTTGAAATGCGCGCTATGGCTAAGACCGTTTTTTAGTGACTTTCTGTTCGAAATCGTCGAGAACGAGGTGTGGTAGTGGAAGAGGGGAAAGGCGGCCCTTTTGTAAGAAATCGGGTTCAAACAATTTCCACAGATTGCCAACAAATAACTCATTTGTAGCTGTGTTGTTGTAATTATCTAATTATATTATGAGTAAATTGGCAGTTATAAATAACCAAACAGCTTTAAGGCAAAGTATTGTATACCTATGATATACTGTTTTATGTGTATAAATAAATAATAAATAAACATGTATATATAATCATTTGTGTTGTTATTATTATCGCTATTATTATGCTTCTAGATATATCACTTCTATTAATATTACTTATTATTGTTATTATTTCTGTGATTGTTGTCTAATCGAGTGTTGTTCCTAATTGTTTGTGTTAAGTTGTTCATTTTTCATCATCATTACAGCATTGCCCTCCCAATGATTGATGATGACGATTGATTGACCAGAACAGTTCCCTTACCAGCAAATCTTCACGCAGGACATCAGAGTACACATTGCACCACTCCCTTCAGTAAAAGTGACAACGGCCTCTCTCCCCATGTCTTGTGTGAGAACAACCCACTGGCTGGTTGTCGATTGTAAGAAAGAATGGCTTCGTTGTAGCCGCTAGTATTTACGACTTAAAAACTATCGAGTAAAAACGTTTTTTCGTTGTTATGTGCGACAGTCTATTTGTCTGCCATGTAATGTAATCGACACAACTCAGTTTATATATTATGTTATGACTTCATAATGTAACATTGACTTTCCTTATCATTCGCTGAACCGGAATGGTGATGTTATACATTGATCGGGCATGCAATTAATACTGTAACTATGGGAATAGAGTTGATGAGAATATATGATAACTGAGGCAACATAAGGATAAATAAGGAACGAATACGTAATATATACTAGAATGAATAATATATGATATAATGTACAACGTATAGTGTGACATATATAATTGTGTATACCTGAGTACTTTATTATTATAGATGTAAACACTTAAAGAATGTGCATGCGTGTATATATGTATATATTAAATAATATAAATAATATACTGTATATCTATTTTATACTATGAGCAAATTTTTTCATATCATTTGTGATTATCACGTAGTAGTTCTTGGCTGCATATGTCTATATCACCTCTTATTAGGTGACATCTCCTAATCAAACAATCAATTAAACACATGATATTTCCATAATTAAATCGCAATTCATCAAAACACTCTCTCACATACACTGTCAATCTCTCACGTTTCCTACGCTTACTGTTACTCTGCCCATATTTCCATCCAGCCTTTCAACTACAATCTTATCCGCCAACCGGTGCAAGCTAAACCATGTCCTCTATAAAACACCCTTGGTAATCAACTTTAATTAACTTGTACAACTGACATTGAACACTATCCCAAAACGCGATCTTTTGACGCAGCCGGTAGACTGGTCGACAAACTGATTGAACACTTGTCAAATGAACCTAAATGTAATCAATGTAACTGTATATATGTATATATTATATACATTAACAATATTTCAACGACACAGGTATCTGATGTTCGAATGATAACAATTAGCATCTCATCAGATGACAATTTATTAGTAATATTGTAAAAATAAAGAATTCCCATTAGGCTCACATTCGAGCTTCGTGGGAACTTCCTTATTATGTTGTGTTTTTCAGAGGTGTGTCAGGTAAGATTCAATTTTCAGTGTTATCCTATTATTCGCCTGTTTGTACACCTTCCATTTCGCACCCAGGAGACTGGACTTCTCGGTTGAAGATTTTCCGTACATCCCATATATCACCCTCATTTCCGTTATGTGATATGTGTCCTAATGGCTGTACGACATGCAAGCTTCGACAAACGAAATATTGAAGTCATCATGCTGTATTTGGCAACAGTTTACATGTTATGATATGTTTACTACATAAACAGGTGACTGAATTACCCATGAAAACCGTTGGTGCCCCAGTTTGACCGGGTTCCTGCCCGTTAGCTACTACAACATCTATTGGACAGCAATGTCCGATAAAGGTTGATGACGTAATAATGATAACAGTAACCGATGGAGACACCATAAATGCCCATCATATAGATAATATTATTTACTGATAGGGCGGTAAGTTTCGGACTAACCGAAATTAAGGGGATTTCCGAGCATCGACGTTAATTTTGAATTCAAGGATGGCGAAGGTAGAACATCTGATTGATTTTCAGCATTGGTAGAATCCAAATGAAGTTATAGTGAAAATGAACAAATAAATGGAAAATCGTAGCAGAAGGGACGGAGAGAACGGAAATGGATGAAACACTTTATTAATATTCTAAATGAATACGATACATGGAATATAATGCCAATGTATGTGGCATAATTTATATAATAATGTTACATGTTAATGTGTTACACGTATATTTTCGTTTTCCGGATAAAGTCATGTGAAACATACAACCGCCAATTACCATTTATTTCGTCTGGTCACAGTCTTGTCCTGACCAATGGAACTGCCAACATTTATATAATAAATAAATATAAATAAATATATATACATATACATGTATAACCAACATAATATGATACCGATGTAATATTGTTAGTATATATCATAATCAATGTAACGCAGCGGATAAAACATGATATACAAAAGTTGAGCTTTAACTCAAGCATGTTGCTAGTTTGGTGACATCCTTCATTCATGCCTTTACTGTCGCAACCGATCATTTGCTCCACAATCCAAATGCTTGAATAGCTTACACAACAAAAACCATCGATCTCTTGCATCAAATTCGTCGACTTCCCGTATATTCGATTAATCTTTCGTTTCACCAGGACCCCCACAGAATTCTATCCGAGCATCGGTCAAGGTAAACAAGGGAAGCATTCTACTCCCTTTAGGTATCATCTTATGAGAATGGTGCAACCATGATTAAAAGATTATACTGTATATTAATATAGTAATAAATGATGCTTGATATTCAGTTACCGGTACAGCATCTTTGAGCTCGGAACTTGCCCCATATATTCTCAATATAATATGATTGGTGACATGCCAATCTCTCATAATTGGTGACCACATCCCCGAATGGTCGGAATAGAAGTTTCACTACCAATCATTAACTATCAATCGAACATATGATATCTAGATATCAAAGTACTAGCGTAGCTTCAGCTGTTACTATAATCGCCGTATATATACAAGTGCACCGCATTGGGCACCAGGGACATGTCAACTTGGCCTCACAGTTACTCAATCCATAATTACAATCTAACATATTCGGCATAATAAACCATTGTAAATTTTATTTGTCACATGAAGAATGTGGATAATTAGTTTATCAGATGTCACTAAATCACGTGTATACGGTTGCGCACTATAAATTTATGTATACAAAAGCAAGAATCAATTTCTCAGCGTAATTATTTTGCAAAAGCTGTTGTCGACTTGTTATGCTGAATGTGCATAACAGATCTGCAAATTTCCCCATTAATGTAAGACAATTCTAATGGCGTCGAGTTCCCCATGCATGGATTCTCTAACATCTGGTTTCTTTATACAATCCCCATGTGCTCATATCTTGATTTTTATAACAAACAGCGTTATTCTCTGATATCCGTTATTGAAAACTACATCAATGAATTTATGACTGATTAGATATACCATTTCAGATTAATAAGTATTCGAACGGCCGTAAATCGGACAAACGCTTTGAAATTTCCCTGCGTCAGCTCTATCAACTGTCTCCAGCAAATTTTCCAAAAGCGGTTTTGATATGTTTGATATGTTTAGAGACAAATATCGGATGTTTGGAAAGTTTGCTGGAGACATCCGATCGAGTTGAAATCTTACAGGCAATCATGGTTATATACTATACACAGGAAATTTTTTTAAGCGTTTGCTCATTCTTATTCCGAATTAGGGTCGTTTGGATATTTACGACCGCTACTGTAAGTCATCTATGATCTCGAGCTAATAGAAAGGCGCACACTATATATACAGTGTGTGACAAAAAACTTAACTATAGCAAATCTGTTATAAATCTATCAAAACAGCACCAATTCTAAAAGTTGATATGTTGTTTAAAATGTGAAACAAGTTTACTAGAGTTAAAAATTAATTTGCTCATCGTTGTTTTTCAATAACTAGCCGTCGCATTGAATTTACTAAATTATTTAAGACGGATTCCGGAATAAATTCCATTCCTCTGTCATAAACTCTTCTAAATCATTCAAATTTTTGGGCAGCGTTTTTCAACGTTGCTCCTAACAATATTCTATATGATCAGGACCACAAGAAGGCCAGTCCATAACCTTGGGCGTACACCTTTAGCGTTCAATCGTAGGTGTAAACAAATAAAGAACGCAAAACTCCATAACCTTGGGCACATTGTTAGCAAGAAATTCTTTTAGCTAATTTACTGGTATGTTTGGGATCGTTATCTTGCTGTAAGCGCCATTTCTTCCCAAACATATCTAAATGTCTGCCAAATGTATGATAAGACACGTCGATATTATCATGGTTGAGTTTATTGGCAAGAACGTAATGATATTGATGTATTACGGCGTACAGTTTGGCCGTTATTTTTTCGGACAACCGTTACCGCTTCTATACCAGTTTTTTTAAGCTTTTCAACGTTATATCATACAGTTGAGACTGATGACTTTGTGCCCTTGCTAGCTCAGGAACAGAACGGACACCTTCATTCCAATTATGTAATAAAGCGTGCATCTTTCGTTCGTAAGCGTTTGTTGACATTTTGACATTACAATTTGAAAAAGTTTGTTTATGTTTTTATTTATTCAAGACGCGTAATAAAAGCCTGTTGTTTACGTTTTTCAGTTGGTAAAATATGATGCAAATTGAGCTAGAATAAGAATTGACAAAGTTTAATTAATGATTAACTTTTCCTGTCAATATTATGATTTTTTTGTCACACAATGTACGTGCTATGTCTTAACAACTATTTTCAGATACGTGCTTCTATTTTAGCTGGAGCAACATTATTATTTCAGTTCTCCACAATAACTTGTTCGCTGTACAGAGTACAATACTGAAAGTTAATATATACAGTGGTGTGTAAAAAAATGATATTTGTTAAATTGCTCTAATTTTACAATGAGCAAACTAATTAATGTAAAATTAACATGAAAATTTTTTTGCTACTTTTACAATAATTCCCCTACAGCGTTGTTTTATTGAACATTTTAAACTGATTAGAAGGCTGTTGGGAATATTATCTCACTCATTAAGTTTTTTGGGATTGCAGTAACGGAATCCTTGTCTGTGAGTATATTTCAGAAGCATTGCTGCTTTATAAATGCTCTTGCCGATTGTAGTAGAATAAGTTTCAGAGTTGGCAAGTATTAAACTTATAATTACATATAAATAACACTCAAAACAAGCTTTTGTTTTTATTTTACATGATATGAATAGATATCTGAACCAATATCAATGAAATTATTGAATTATTTAAGAATCTGAATATATGAAAACTTTCAAAGAAAAAGAATTCAAATCGCTTAGGACACAAACTTGCAGATCGTTAAAAGAATTGATAATCGTTCCCACATGTTAAACTTTTGACAATATTGACGTGAGTACATTCTACAATTTTTACGGCAGGAGATTGATATCGAATGAAATATAATCATGTCAACAATTTCGAAATTTGCTTGTTATTATTTGACGACTCTCAACCTTACGCTGCAAGATATTTTAAAACAAAAACTTTTCAAAGTTGTCTGAGAATTGAGGCTTACAAACAAATTTCGAAAACTTTGGTATGACATGTGTATTTTCTTACCATAGAGAGACTTGGCTAACATCTACTCCATTGATTCTATAATCGACAAGTTAGTTATTTTTTCCTGGGTTTTAAATACTCACAGCCGTATGTCCGGTCTTGTATACGTAGATTCTATATCACTATTGATCTGTCCTGTTTATGTTTACTTCTGTCGGTGGAATTATTTCTGATAACCTACAAGCATGTTGGGGAAATTTACTAGCTAAACTAACGCGTTTATGGACATTTAACTAACAATCGTATTTTGCCAAATCTGCGTTTTGCACGTCACTACCAAGTTGATAACCAAGGAATACAAATTATTTTGCTATTTCAATAAATATAGTTTACTAAGTATTAAGAGCAACTTATTATACAACGCGAATAATTGTAAGGACTTGAATACTGTCCACACTAAGGGTGCTTAGCGGCAGTTAGATAGGTAGTCGAAAATTTTCTTCGATGCAAAAATCAACTCGAGAGTAAATGCTAGCTCTTACTATAACAATGTTCGTGTATTAATTAAGTTCTACATTTGGGTACATACACTCTACATCGGAACAGAACCTTTATGTTCGTGAAGAAAGTTACAATATATTCGCAACGTGAGACAGTTATCAAATTTTTTTTTCAAACCACCCAAGTAATATTTACTGAATATAGCCTCTCCAATAGAGGACTTAATTCGAAATATAAACATTAATTTGTAAATATTTTCTGTAAACTTCTGTTGAGAATAAGATTACTTTTTGCCATGTGAATAGTTAATGTATTAATAACTCGCAGGTTAACATCTTAATTTACGTGTAATACAATTCACTTGTCAGTGACGCTCGGTAACGAGTATAACTTTAACGTTTCCAGTAAAGCATACACTACCTAGACATATACGATTTAGGAATTGCACAAATTACACGCAATAATTGCGTTTCAAATTTTAACATCTCATACTTTAAGCGATACAGCAATAAACTAACCGTTGACACCTATTGTTTGTAATAACTGCTTATATTCTCTGCAGCATACTTTCTATCAAGCACATTAGTATTAGTTGATTCTTTGAATCTTGTCCCAGTCTACCTGCAAGCAGTCTAATACCAGGATTCTCCAACACAACTGGGACATTATTTTTAAACATTGCAAATCTGCTCTCATAACTCTATATACCATATTCCATTTTCAATAGTACTTTCCTCAACTTGCCATCTTTAGCATTCATTATGGCTGCAACAAACAATCTTTCTCCTTCGCCAACACCTCATATTGAGTTGCTCAGACTAGGGACAAGTCTCTGTTA